GACCCCACCTAGAAGGCCTCTACGCAAGGGACGCGCTCGAGCTGCTCACTCGGGGCCGGCGCCCGAACGACGGCCCCCCTCGGCTGCCGCACGGGCCGAAGCCTCACATCTGGAGTCGAGCCGCTCGAGGCCCTGCGGGCCGAGCCGTCCGGCAGTCTGGTAGGCGGCCGAAGGTATCGTTCGTTGCACCCGAATGCTATTGCTCGTGCCCTTCATCCTCCCAACCCCTTCCTCCCAACACGATCACAGATCTCCTCCGAGATGCTCGGAGAAAGCCAGTGGGCCGAGGACGAGACACCTGGCGAAGGCCAGCGGGCCACACCCCACCCGCCTCGGCCAGTTTCAGAGCAGGGTGACCCGAGACAACGGTCCTTGGCCGTGTGGGCTCCCCGGCGTCGCCACGGCCGGACGCACCTCGGAGAAGAGATGCGTCTGGACCCCGGGAGGGGTCCGGGCACCAAGTTGGGGCTGCGGTCGCCTCAGCTCGCCCGAGGGTCTCGGCTGCCGCACGGGCCTCCTCCTCCTCCTCCTCCTCCTCTCCTCCTCCTCCTCCTCCTCCTCCTCCTCCTCCTCCTCCTCCTCCTCCTCCTCCTCCTCCTCCTCCTCCTCCTCCTCCTCCTCCTCCCCCTCCTCCTCCTCCTCCTCCTCCCCTGGAAGAAGCAGCCCGCCCACCCCTCCACCCCTCGGCTGCCGCTCCCCCGGTGCACCCCGGCCCTGCGACCCTCGGGGCTCAAGAGGGAGACGGGGGTCAGTGCAAACGGGGGTAAGTCAGAGCGCCAGACCTGGCAAGATCCCCTCGGGCAGTGAAAACAATCACGACGGGAGGTTTGTCACCATTTGCGGCCTCTGGGGGCCCTTCCTGGGCCTCGGGGCCGTCAAACAACGATCTGCATGGGGGAACAGGTCAACACTTTGGGGGGTCGACGCTAGGAAAAAATCGCTACGTCGGGGGCCTAGGTCCTGCAGCATTGACCCGGGGTTGGGCCAATTGGTTGCATGATCCTGCAGGATCTTGAAGGATCCTGCAGAGTCTGACTGACCCGGGTCTGAATTGACTCGGGTCCGTAGATCCCCGAGATCGACCTCGGCCGTCTTCGAAGTCCTCCTCCCAGACGGCATCCGAACGTTTCGACGAGTTTTGATTGGACGGTGTTAGCAGCTTCTGGCCTCTTGTGGAACAGTGCAACCAAGGATGTAGCCCGTCGGAAAACCAAACCTAGTCGAAAAGAGAAGCCGGCCCTGTGGAAGGGGTTTGGACCTCGAGGGGCCCCGTATATCTTGACGGGAGCCTTTTGGTCCTGGTGGGACGGACATTATGTCCTGGTTGGAGCTGGAGGATCATTGCGTTTGCAGACGCGGACAGGATAACATGATCGAGTGAGTCGGCTGGCTGGCTGTTCCTCCCCTTCTTTCCCAACCCATCCGGCGCTGAGGCGCCACCACCTAGCCCCTCGTATGGAGCCGTCCCGCGGCCGGGACTAGTAGGCGCCCTGCCCTGTCCTGTCCTGTCCTGCGAGCTCATTGGGCCCCAGGACCGTCAAACACTTCATGCCGAAAAGCTTCGGATGAAAATCTTCGGACCCCAGGACCGTCAAGCGTCGACTTAAAGATGAGAAGCCACTCCCTGGGAAAGGATCCAGACCTCTGGGGGTCCACAGTTCTTATTATAATGAAACAAAATGACGCTGGGGGTTTGGGGAGGACGACGACGCCACCTCCCCAGACCCCCGAGGTCATGATTTTTTCAATACGTCGACCCCCGAGGTCTCGACCCATTCCCTGGGACCGGTTTTTCATCCCGAGTCGTTATTTGACGGACCCGAGGCCCGGTAAGGGCCTCCATGGAGACCGAAAATGGCGAAAAACCTCCCGTGGTGATTTTTTCATTATTCGAAGGGGTCTGGGTCTTACGGTGGATGCTTTCTCGAGTGCCAGACCTGCATTGAAGGAGGCGTTTTTCCCCTCAAGGTTCACGGTCTTCGACGGCGAGGTATAATAATCTCCGATCGCGCAGTATACGATTTCGACAGACCGTCACAGCCTGTGTTGCACTCGGCACCGTTCCGCCCGAGCAGAGTCGCAGCGCGTCGGCCGATGGGTAAGTCGGGTATGTCCCTCTACATGAGGAGTATCAAAAAATAGGAAAATTGTCTTGGGACGATTTATCCATAATGTTTGATTGTTTTTGCATGTTTTGTATTTCTTTTACTTTCCTTCCAATATCCGCCTGTAGGAGGACATGCCCGACCTAGGCCTAAGGCTGGAGACAGTATCCACCCCAGAGAGGTTTGAACCCCAGGATCCGACGTCGCGAGTCAGTTTCGAAATCGTAGACCGAAAGCTACCCGGACCCGGCCTGGCGGTTCTCGAGCCGGATCGACCTGTGATAGGCTGTGATAGGTCCCCGGGGCCCGGAACCAGGCGAGGAACGCCCGCGCGGCCCTTTCTGGAGACGTTGGCGTCACATGTCTTGACGCCTGGCGCCTTCGCCCAGAGTCGGGGCAGAGGGCCCTCGGAGATCGGTCCTGGTCAGGAGGCGTCGCCGGCAGAAAGGGGCTACAGTGATGGGACCATTTTCCACCACCACTACCATATGTAGGAGAGGGAGGGGGAGGAGGCGGAGGAGGAGGAGGAGGAGGAGGACGACGAGGACGACGAGGACGACGAGGACGACGAGGACGACGAGGACGAGGACGAGGACGAGGAGGACCTTCTCATCCTCCCTTCTCCCCCGTTCCACATGTGGTAGTGGTGGTGGAAATTTTGCCCATCATATAGGGTTCCGGTCGGGGCTATCGGGGACCGGGGAGGAGGACGAGGCCACGACGGAGGACGAGGCCGACGATGCCGCGGAGCGCCCAGAGAGCGGCTCCGGCTCGTCGGGCAAGTGCGCCGAGGAGGGGGCCGCTCCCGAGGACGGGGGCCTTTGCAGAGAAGCGAGCGCCTCCTCCCCCAGACATCCAAGGTTTTGAGTATACTATGAAGTGTAGGTGTTTCGCAGTGTTTTCGGGCTCAGGATTCACTGTTTGTTCGGAGTCCGAGTGTCGCAAAGGTCGGCGACTCAGCTTGAGAAGCCAGTCCTTGGGAAGTGGTCCAGACCTCTGGGGGTCCACGTTGTGACATCATCACGACGTTGTCATCCTGGCCTTCCCACGCATTCAGGCCTTCCAGAACGGGCTTCGCCTTCGGCAGAAGGCGGCGGAAGCTAGCAGATGCGGCGGAAGCTGGCGGAAGCTTCGCCTTCGGCAGAAGGCGGCGGCTCCGCTGGCGGCAGGTGACTGGGTGCTGGGGGAAGGCGGCGGAACTAAAATATGCACCCCGACGGAAGCAATGTTGTGAGGCTTGGGGGGGTTGGAACCAACCATATGGCCTTCCGCCCATGCTGCCACAGTGCTGGGGTCGTGTCGTGCAAAAAGTGTTTCTTTGGGAGGCATTCTGGCGTCTCTTGAAAGGATTCTTGGAGCCTCTTTGCAGCCTTTGGAGGTTGGGACCTCCGGGGTGCTTTTGAGAGGCAGGAGGCGGTCTCGGGGGTCATGTTGGGGCGTACGACTGTCTCAGTGGCCCTACGCCTCAAGGTGGCACTTCGACTCCTCTTGGGCCCAGGTAGGGAGCCTCGAGGGCCGTCTTGAGGCTCTCTTGGCCGTCTTGGGGCTCTCCTGGGGGCCTGCCTCTTGGGCCGTCTCGCTCTGAAGACCGAAGGCCAACTACGCGAGCATCATGCAAGGACAGTTGAGCGACGCGAAGAGAACGGGGCCGTCTTCGCCTCCATTGGCGCGTAAGCTGCCCGCGTAAGGTCGCGCGTGAGCGCCCTCGCTTCAGCGTAGCATGTCGCGCTGGCGGTCCGCGTAAGCCACCTCCCCAGACCCCCGACGTCATGTTTTTTCATTACGTCGACCCCCCGAGGTCTCGACCTACATCCCCGTTACGAGAGTTATTTCATCTTGGCTAAAATTTACATGTGTGGGCGCTGTGGTGAGAAGTGGTACGGGAGTGATTATTCCTTGTGGTTTCATACGGGGAGAGAGTCAGAGTTCCCTGGAAGTGACCGGGAGTGATTTCTCCCTTGTGAATTTACGGGGGAGAGATTTTATCCTGAATTGGTTATATATTATTAATGTTACCAGGGAGAACCCCGGAAATCTTTCCCGCCAAGCCAGGCCGAAGACTGCCGTGCTAGGAGTCTACGGGGGGAAGGGGGGGCCACTCGGAGACGCCCTAGTCGTCAGTGCTCAAGATGAATAACGTTCGTAACGGGTAAGTATTTCCCGGGACCAGATCTTCATCACGAGTCATTTTTTGACGGTTACGAGGCCCAATGAGTGTCCCCAGAGGCCGAAAATTGTGAACATCCTCCCGTCATGATCGTGTCGTTGCTCGAGGGGGTTTGGGAAGGTCGCCGTGTCATCTCGCGCAAGACCCGTTGTTGATCGTCGCTCAATTGTGTACGCAAGGAGTGACCCTTCGCCGGAGTGCCCTCTGGTGCGGGCCCACTGGGGTCCCCCGATCGCCGCACGCGATGCGACAACAGCGTTTTGCGCGCTGGTGTTTGGTCCGCCCGCGGCCCCCACACAGCCGCGCACCCAAGGTCCCTCTCGCCCAGGGCAGCTCCTTCGCGTGGCCGACTTGACGGGGGGCCGTTCCCCAGGGTTTTGACAGTAAGACTGCAGCTGCGGACCTGAAAAGTTTATTGGCGAGCGCGGCATAACCTACTGCAGGTGCGAAATGTCTTTGTTCTCGAAACGAGTTGTCAAATCTCTGAGAATATTCGCCCAACCGACCCAAAGTCGTCACATATTGTCCGCCCTTGCTGGGTCCGTCAACTAGGCTCCCCCCGGGCTTCCCTAGGACGGCCCATAGCCTAAGCGGCCCCGGAGGGAGCGGACGGCTCCCGGATCATGGGGCCGCGGAGGGGGCTCCCGCTCCGGCTCGGTCGTGTCTTGGGAGGTTCTTGCCTGGGGGGGTGTTCTTGCCTGGGGGGGGAGTTGGACCCAGACTCCCTCGAGTAATTAAAACATTTGCGACGGGAGGTTTTGTCCAAATGTTCAGCCTCTGGGGGCCCTTACCGGGCCTCGGGACCGCCAGAAACGACTCGGTATGAAAAGCCGGTTCCTGGGAATAGGTCGAAACCTCTGGGGTGGACGTTGTGAAGGAATCATGACGCCGGGGGTCTGGGGAGTCGGTTTGGTCGGTTTTGGCCTCGCGGAGGCCCGCGCGAAAACGCTGAAAGCGCCCAAGGGCGCCCAACGATTCCTCCGTCAAATAGGTTGTCCGGGTCCGGCCCTCGCACCTGTGTGAGCCTTGGGGTAATTCGCTACGTGCTGAAGGCGCGGTGGCGGACGTTGCCTTGTTGCAGAACCCTGGCCTCGCCGATCAACGATTCAGGCAACTCGATGCGCCGCGGGGTGGTAGGGTTCGGAATTCGTCGAGCACGTGCCGAAATCCCAACCCTGCCCCTGCCTCCAAGCGACTCAGGAGGATCGATGTTTGGGGGGGGGGTGTAGGGTTCGGACGTCGCCAGCTACCCCAGTCGCCATGTGGGGACGCTCAGGGGCCACATCGTTGACCCGACGGAGATTCGGGCTCTTCTGCCAGGCGATCTCAACCATGGATCGAGGGCGCTTGGATCAGCGTCGGGCCCCGTTTCCAAGGGGGACTCGCGGACTTCCGCCGCCGAGACGAGGCGGCACCGGCCGCATCTCGGGGAGGGCACCTCCCCGGATCCATAGATTTGGCGACCGCGCGCCAAATCCATGGATCGCTACCCATGTTTGCGCGCCCCCGATCCCAGACCCCCGACGTCATCATTTTTTCGTGACGTCGCCCCCCAGGGATCTCGACCTATTCCCCGGGACCGGCTTTTCATCCCGAGTCGTTGTTTGACGGCCCCGAGGCCTGGTATGGCCCCCCAGAGGCCGACAATTGGGAAACACCTCCCGTCGTGATTTTTGTCATTGCTCGTGGGGGTCTGGGATGCTTGCTCTTCCCTCGCCCCCTGCACCGGAGATCCCCGCGGGTGTCGTGAGGCGCCTCTGCCCCGCTGCGTGCTGTGCCCTCGTGGACGGACTCCTGGCCTAAGCGAGGTCCCGCCTGCTGAGGGTGGAGCCGAGGAGCTCCAGCCCCAGACCCCCTCGAGGGAGGAGGAGGAGGAGGAGGAGGAGGAGGAGGAGGAGAGGAGGAGGAGGAGGAGGAGGGAGGAGGAGGACGAGGAGGAGGAGGAAGGAGGAGGAGGAGGAGGAGGAGAGGGGAGGAGGAGGAGGAGGAGAGAGAGGAGAGGAGGGAGGAGGAGGGGGGGGAGGGGGAGGAGGGGGAGGAGGAGAGGAGAGGAGGAGGAGGAGGAGGAGGAGGAAGGGAGGAGGAGGGGGAGGAGAGGAGGAGGAGGAGTCAGGAGGAGGATCAGTCACGGCAGATCACGGCGGAAGCCGTTCCTACGTCCTCAGCCTCTGGGGGCCCGCGCCGGACCTCGGGACCATCAAAAAGATAATAGGGTTGAAGAGATGGTCCCGAGGAGCGGGCAGGGACCTCTGGGGGTCGACGTCTTGAAGCAGATAGCGGCTCCGGAGGTCTGGGGCCCGAGGTGCTCCGAGCTTCCCGCGCCATGTTGGAGCCCCTTGGCCCCTCTGGGCCTCGTGAGGGGTGCTCTGGAGGCCACCTGGTTCTCCCGGGGCCACCTTGCCTGGGCCAGGACCACCAACCCTCATACGTCCAGCAATGTGAGTTTTCACTGCGGGGTCCAAAGAGGTCCCGACCCCTTACCCTGGGCCACCTTTCCCTCCCGGATCCATGTTTGATGGCCAATGGGGCCGCTAGCGGGCCCCAGGGTCAGGATGCATTTCCTTTGAGGTTAATTCAGCATCGCCTGCTGGCCGAAAGTTTTCCTAATCCGGCCTAGTCGCCTTTTCCTGTTTTATCCGGCTTAGTTCGGTTCCATCCGGCTTGATATTGAGCATAACTAGGTCTGTTCTGGCTCAGAAGTTTTTCAAGTGGGGCTAATTTGTGATGATAGTTCCTACGAGTATTTTCCAAGAGTTGCGTCCTACCAGGGGCCGACGTCGAGGAAAAGACGCCAGGAGTGGAAACGTCATATGCTAGCCAGCGTGGACGCCAAGGAGGAGGTTTCTGCACTGTGGATGTGCGAGCTCTGTGGTGTAAGCTGTGCGCTCCTAACTAAGGTGTAAGTGCACGCCATGTGGTGCGAACTATGCGGTGTGACTTCTGTAGTTCGTGGCGGCTGCGACGAGGCGGCAACGGGCGGCAACGCGGCGAAACCTCGGCGGACCCATCCATCTCCTCTAGTGACAAAGTAAACGACCCCTAATTGCAACCACTGGTTGAGGAATCTCGTCGGAGATCTGGGAGCCCAGACCCCGACGGCATGAATCGTGTGTTCAGAACGTCGACCCCGAAAGATCTCGACCCACTCCCCAGGACTGGCTTTTCGTCCCGATTTCTTTTTTGTTGACGGTAGGGCTCCCCTAGATCGAGGCCGACAATCGCGGAAAAGAACATTCGCCGTGATTTCTCATGACACGGACGGGGGGTCGGGGAGCTCCTTGGCACCGCTCGGACGCGTGGATTCGTTGCCTCGGCGAGGGCCATCGAGGAGCCTCCTGGATCCTCTTGGGAGACATGCGCGCGCCAAGCCGACAAAGTCTACTTAGTTCTGGGAGGTCAAATTCTGAATTTGACCTAGGAGGTCAAATTCTGAGATTGCCCTGGTCCGAAAACCGGCTCAATCCGGTTTCACTCCGCTCAATCTGGCTTGATCCCGCGCAATCCGGTTTCTTTCACTCCGCTTTGTCCGCGGCTTATTGGTCCAGCGCGGCAGCCCCCCAACAATGGGGCTCGCTCCTCCTCCGGACCCCCCGACGTCGCGTTTTTTTCACAACGTTGACCGTTGACCCCCAGATGTCTGGACCCCTTCCCGGGGACCGGTTTTTGACCGTGAGTTGTTTTTTGGCGGTCCTGAGGCCCAGGAAGGGCCCCCCGAGGGCCGAAAATAGTGAAAAACCTCCCGTCATGTTTTTTTTCTCCCTACTCGAGGAGGTCTCGGGAGGGGGGCTGGGAGCTCAGTGCAGCGGGCGAGCCCGTGGGGCCCCAGCGCGACCTCGGAGCCGCCCGAAGGAGGCGCCGCCGGAGCGCCCCTCCAGCCCGGCACCGGCACCGGAGGAGGCCGCGCCGCGGGCGGACGCGAGCCCGGGGGATGCTGCCGGGGAGGGCGCGCCCCCCGCCCTCGGCGGCGACGGGAGGCTCCGTGGGGCCCCGGCCGAAGCCACCTGGGGGATGACGATGACGATGATGATGATGATGATGATGATGATGATGATGATGATGATGATGATGATGATGATGATGATGATGATGATGATGATGATGATGATGATGATGATGATGATGATGATGATGACCTCCTCATCGTCATCATTGTCATCAGCATGGGCATATTCATCACCAGCAGCATCAGCAGCATCATCACCATCATCATCACCAGCAGGAGTATCATCATCATTATCATCATCAGCATCACCACCATGATCAGCATCATCCTTATCAGCATCATGATCATCAGCACATCATCACAGTCATCATCAGCATCATCATGATGCTCAGCATCATCATCATCACCACCATCGTCATTATCATTATCAGCAGCAGCATCAGCAGCATTTTGACCAATTCCATCATCCTCCTCCTCATCATCACCAGCATCAGCATCAGCACCATCGTCGTTCTCGTCAGCGTCATCGTCATCGTCATCGTCATCGTCGTCATCGGAGGGGGGTCCAGCGCCGATCCGAGAAATCCGCGCGGGCCTCATAGTTTTTTATGTTTATGTCATTCTTCGATCCCCAGGCGGATGAGGAAGAAAACGGGCTCGCCTGCGCGGGCATTCGCGCATGCGCCCTTCGTTCTCCACGCCGCGGTTTGCCGCGCTGGTGGCCCGAGTAAGCCACCGCGTGAGGTCGCTATGACATCAGGCGTAAGACCTCTTTGTTTTCGTTGGAGCCTGTTTTGTTAGACTCTGGCAAGGTGACTTGCATGGACGGGGGGGGGCTGAACCTGAAGCAGGCCGCACACGACTTGACGTGCGGAAATCACGCAAGCCAGAAGCCACTTGCACGCTCGTATTCGATTGAATAGGGGCGAGGGGGGGTGGCGAACGCCATGCAAGGCGATTTGCTTGAATCTAAAGAAAACAGGCTCTTGCTCACCTGCGTCGATCCTGTCGCGTCGAACCCCTGAGACCCTCGCGTCGCAATTTGTTCGAGCCGGGCGTTTTCGTACATTTTTGGGCCCTGTGATCTTCGTAGGTCGCTTCGGTTCGGAAAACATGCAACAGGAAGATGGGATCCGGGGTCCAGTCGTGATTTGTCACGGCGTTGTGTTTTTTCGCGTCGTCGGATCTCGGAGAACCACCTTCACCGATCCTGTCGCGTCCAACCATGTCGTGAAGCCGCCGCAGGATGTTTTTGTTGGCGATGTTCGGTACCATGCGGCCCTCACCGGGCCCTGGGACCGCGAAAAAAAGACTTGGGATGAAAAACCGTTCCCTGTGCGAAGGGTTCCCGATGTTTGGAGGTCCCCAGGAAGGAGTCGTCGGCGGCTTTGATATCATTGTTGATTGTCCTCTCCAATATCTCTTCAGGCAGGCGGCAGACAGATGTATTCTGCAGCGCTCCCCCCGCGTTGCTTTTGCCAGCGCCATCCTGACTCACCCCTGCGACTGACACTCCGCCGAACTGGCCATGGACCCACGGGGCCCCCCACCCCCAGTGCACTGGCCTGCGCCCTTTGCGGGGCCATCCCCCCCTCGCTCCGCGAACCAGAGGTCACCGAGCGCGTTCCACGACTCGCAAAGTGCCGACTCGCAAACGTCCGACAAGCACAGGTCTTCCTCTGCGTATTGGGTCGTAAGTTCACGGCGGCGGATCCAGGCCAGTCGCGAGTAGTCCCTTTGCGAGCAGTGGGACGCGCTTGTCTGAGAGGGGTCACTCCTGAGTGGCCCAGCCGATCCCGACTGGGCCCCCTTTGACCTTCTGCAGACGGGCGCGCCCACCGACCCTGGAACTCTAGCGTTAAGTCGGGCGCGTCCTTGCACTGGAGGAGTATTTTAAAAATAGTGCAGGGACGATCTTTGGAATATGTTTGCCCAATTCTGAATATTTGTTCAAGCATGTTCGATTTTTGCCCCAAATCCGCCTGTAGGAGGACATGCCCGACCGAACTCTGGCGGGGCGTGCCCAGCCAGGACCGGTGCAGGGTGCGGCAGGGGCGCGCATGTTGCCGCCGCGGCGGTGGCCCGAGGCAGCGCGGGCGTTCGAGGTGGAGCGCTGCCGGCGGTCCAGGATCGGCCGGTGTCCAAGGAGCTAGCGACTCGGCCTTGCAGCGGTCATCACTGCTCGCGCCTATTCCCCACAGTTGAGCCGTGCTGTCCACTCCTTCTGTAAAAAAAGTCACGGTGGATCTCCACCGATCCGCGCTATCGGAAAGCCGCGATCTTTCCAGGCTGGACGATCCACTCTGATGGGCCACCTTTCTAACACCACTACCATGGGTAGGACTGGGGAGAAGAGAGCATGGGGAGATCCTCCTCCTCCTCCTCCTCCTCCTCCTCCTCCTCCTCCTCCTCCTCCCTCTCCTACCTATGGTAGTGGTGGTGGAGATTCTGCCTATCACACTCCGTATGAGAGGCCAGCGCTCAATTCCTGGTTGCACATAAAGTTGATGTGTTTTTGGGGCCTGGGCGGCATCACCCCCGAAGGCGGGAGAGTGGAGCCTCGTCATGTTCCTGCGCCAGCGCACATGTCGAAGAGCTGGAGGCGCCAGGGGGCGGAGGATGGAGGGATTCGGTAGCAAATCATGGGAGCCTGTCATGCCCTCTTAACTCGTCTTGAGTGTCGACTGGCGCCGATTAGCGTCGGGGGTCGATGAGATAGCGCCGAATTAGCGTCGGCTAGCGTCGATTAGCGTCGATTTAGCGTCGATTAGCGCCGACTAGCGTCGATGAGCGTCGATTCGCAAGAGCCGACAAGATGGTGTGGGAGGCCCCCATGAGCTGCCACCGAAGGGGGAGCCCTGCTCCAGGCTTTGGAGCCGAGCTTGACTCCTTGGTGCCTCGCCTGTCCCTCCTCTCCCTCCCCGCCTCTCATCCCCCCCCCCTTCTCCGTCTCGGCTCTCCAGGGCCTCCCCGCGCAACGGGGGGCGTTTTCGCTCACTCTCGGCCCCCATGGGGGCCCGAATAGGGCCCCACCCGAGGACCGTCAGACAAGCGTGAGGCGGACGGCAAAGGGGGGGAGGAGGAGGAGGAGGAGGAGGAGGAGGAGGAGGAGGAGGAGGAGGAGGAGGAGGAGGAGGAGGAGGAGGAGGAGGAGGGAGGAGGAGGAGGAGGAGGAGGAGGAGGAGGAGGAGGAGGAGGAGGAGGGAGGAGGAAGAGGAGGAGGAGGAGGGGGGGGGAACCCAACGAGGAGGAGGAGAACCAAAATGGCCCCCTTGACTGCCACCGCGGGCCCTAATGGTACACTCAAGATTCGGGTGTCTTCGCCTCACGCTTACATACATCCCCCCTTTCTGACATCAGAGCACGACTCGAGCGGAAGAACCGGTCCCCTCGGAACGGCTCGAGATCTCTGGTAGTCTACGTTCTTCTGAACAGCGAAAGCCCGAAGTCGGATGTCTGGGCTACAACCAGAGAAAGAGATAACCCCTGCCTCGTGCTTGTATGTGGAGTTGGTCCATGGTGGTAGAGGGCTTTGATTCCCCCCTGGCGGAGCTACCGTGCAGACTCTCCACCGGGCCCTTCTGGATTTCCATCGATGTCCCTCTTGTTATTTGCGTACTTGGCATGTGTTGTTGCTCGTCCCACGCAACGGTGCAGAATTTCTCCGATTTCTTTGTCATCGCTTCCCCCCCCCTTCTCCGCTCGTGTCTGTTCCCTCTCTCTCTCTCTCTCTCTCCTCCCTTCGTCCTTTCCTCGTCTTCTCGTCCGCACTCTGTTCTCCCAGGTGCCACATACTTCCTCCCTCCCTCCCTCCGTCGTCCCCTCGTGCTCCCCTCGCCCCCCCGACCTCGAGGCCTCGCTTCGAGCCAAACGATCTGGTTCGATGGCGACGTCGGCCGGCCCGATCAGATTCGACTCCCGTATTCCGACGACCCGATGCAGTCCGATGTTCGAATGGCATTGTTGTGCATTCTGGCGCGGCAGATCCGAGTTGATCTCGACCCCGTGCCGTTGCAGCCCGATTCGAAGCCTATTTCGATTTGATCCGATTTATCGGTTCGATGCTGACCGATCCTGCACTTCATTACGCCAGGGGCTGGTGCCATCTGCATTTGCTATTGTGGCTCCGAAGGCAAATCGTCTCGATCCGAGCACTGCGCAGAAGACACACTTTCAGGTATTCGGTTTGGGATGACTTGTCATGTGCCCCCTCGCTAAACGCAACCGTCCATCGTGTGTGCAGAAGACTGCCAGAGACTGCTCAATGAAGTAGAAGCGCCGGAGACCGCCGAAGGCCTCTTGGTAAAAAGGGGCCCGTGGTCGGACACGTGGAAGTATGGTCTGAGTAAATGTTCTCTGGTAAGCCGCTGCGGACGGCCTGAGAGCGATGGGCAACAAGGGTTCCGAGGTCCGGGGAAGGCCGAAAGGGGTGCGTGGGAAGGGAAGGGGAGGCTCCCGAAATCTGCTGCGCGCGGCTGGTGTCGGCCCCACCGCCGTGCGCACTCCTTGCGCTCCCCTCGGCCGCTCCCGGTGCGCCCCCGGCTCCTGGAGAACGGGCTGCGTGCGGCGGACTCGCCGACGCCCCCCTGGCTTTCACCCCTGCTTTCGTCCGCCGCGCTCGTCGTCGCGTTCGTCGTCGGTGTCGGCGTCGGCGTCGTCGTCCGTCCGTCCGTCCGTGTCCGTCGGTTGGTCGGTCGGTCCGTCGGTCGGTCGGTCCGTCCGTCGGTCCTCGTCGTCGTCGTCCTTCGTCCGGCGGTCGTCGGTCGTCGCCGTCGTCCGCAGAGGAGGCGCGCGGGGACGCGGCGGATCCCGAGCGGCGCCGGCGCGAGGCGGCCGTCGTGCTGCAGGCGGGCTGGCGCGGCCGTGTCGGCCGGCGGGCGGCCCCGCTGCAGAGGACGGGGGCCAGCCAGAACCCCCTCCGTTGGAGGGCCCAAACCATCATCATCATCATCATCATCATCATCATCATCATCATCATCATCATCATCATCATCATCATCATCATCATCATCATCATCATCATCATCATCATCATCATCATGATCTTCATCATCATCATGATCTTCATCATCATCATCATCACCATCATCATCATCATCATCATCATCATCATCATATTTATCTTCATCTTCATCTTCATATTCATCTTCATCTTCATCATTATCATCTTCATCTTCAACAACAGCATCAGCATCAGCATCATCAGCAGCAGCATCATCATCATCATCCTCAGCATCAGCAGCATCATCAGTGTCAGCATCAGCATCATCATCAGCATCATCACTATCAGCAGCATCAGCATCATCAGCATCATCAGCATCATCATTACCAGCATCATCATCAGCATCATCATTATCAGCAGCATCAGCAGCAGCATCATCATCATGGATGCCAAAGTGCAGTTGTACCAGCATGTGTGGTGGCATGTTGTTCTGCCTTTGCCCACAGTTGGGTGGACTCTCAGTTTGGAGGGGGCTCGCCAAGCAGTCCACCATCCGAATAGGTGGGGGGGGCAGAGCAACCGGCACAGTGCAGACTGGCCGCGCGGCCAAACAATAAAGACAGAGAGGCGATGTCTGCTCGTGGGAGCCGTGGGCGGCGACACCGAACTGGCTTTTTCCGGCGCTGGGGCCGCCCTGAGGCCGCTTGCGGCCCCTCGCTCTGCTCCCCATTCGCCCTTCCTGCTCCTGCGCCCCCTCCTCGTTCTCCCCGTCCGCTCGGGACGGTCGTGAAGTATACGGCCATCTCCCAGGCGGGCCCCGCGCGCGTGCCTCGCGCGCGAGCTTGCTCTCTGGCGGACTTGGACCTCCCTCTCCCCCCCCCTGAACGCGGGTCGCTCCTCGTTCTCCCCGTCCCCCTCGTGGCGGGGCGAGAATCTCTGCCAGATCGGGTCCCCACATGTGCGTTCCAGGTCCAGGCCAGAGCATGCCCTTCATCGGTTGGCAGCGCCGGGGGCCGCGCGGCTCCGAGGGAGCGGCCCCCCCCCACGTCCGTGCTTCGCGGTGTTCCGCCTCCGGGGCTGCCCTGCCCGTGCCTCGTGGCCGTCTTCAGGGAACGGCTCGGGACGGCAAAGCGGTCCCAGGGGAAGGGGTCGAGACCCCTGGGTCAAGCAGTGGCGAAGCGTCCTGGCTCGCCTCTAATTTAATTAGCCCTGCCAGGCAATGTTCTACGAACCTTTTGTGGTTCCCAGGAAATGTCCTTAGAACAGTTCTGGCGGAGTCTGTCTTATTTTATCACATCGTGTTTATGTTCTAAGAAACTTGTTCTCGTTCTTAGAACATTTTTGGGTTCTAAGAACATTTCGTGGTAGGACTATAGGAATGCCGGGACGGTCGGTCCCTACTCAACTCGGGGTCGACGTTACGAACAAAAACATGACGTCGGGGGTCTGTCACCTCCACCAAAGGGGCCACCTCCAAGGCAGACGCCCTGACGATGCCTCCCCGGGTTGGGGACAGGGGGACGTCTCGAGCAAGAGGGGAGGGGAGGCCACACCACCAGGAAGCCCCCCCTGTCGCCTCGCGTTCGTGGTGTTGGTGCCGCTTTTTCCATAGCTCCTGCCTCCCAGGCTGCTGCCAGGAGCGCCCATGAAACCCGTTGTCCCGGCCGTTGAGAATCCGGAGCCCTGGCTGCAGCAGCAGCAGTACAGCTGTGAGCCTTGTGGCGCTACACTTCGGGCCAAAGGCACAGGAGGGGGGGGGAGGGGACCCGTCCCGCCCCTCTACAAGCTGGGACCCCCCCGATATGTGGCCCTGGGGACTCCTTGGCTGCTCTTGCACGAGGTCCCCCAGATTTTCCAGGGCTTCTGGACGGACGCCCGTGCTGGGCCCAGCCAGCGGGCCCAAATCGGTCGGGAGGGCGGGCGGAGGGCTCGGCGAGAGCCCCACGAGGCCCCAGTCGCCCACCTGGCGCCCGAAGACGACCCCCCAACAAGAGACCCCCAAGAGGTGTTCGAAGCGCCGACAACACAGTGGTGCCCCATGGGCCTTCTTTTTGGCATGGTGTGGGGAAAAGGTTGTCGTTCAGTTTTCCGGCCGGCCGAGCCTGCACAGGAGGCCCGAACATCGCCCCAGAGCTACGAAGGAGGGCTTCGGGGCAGTCCAAGAGACAGAGCGCCAAGGCGGCCCAACGGGGCCCCACGATGGCCCGAAAAAGGCCCCCGTGGCGGCCTGAGATGGCCCCCAGAGGCCCCCCGGAGCACTCCAAGTCGTGGCTTTGTCGTTCGGGGAGGCCGCGGTCAGAAGGCGGGCCGCCCGAAGAAGCCCCCAGACGGGCCCCAGAAAACCCAAAGGAGCTTGTAAACATTGTCGCGAGGCCACAAGAGGCTCTCCAAGGAGGGGCCTCCGCAAAACGAGCTGAGGAGGATGAGGAACAATTCGCAGGGAGGGCGAGAATGAGGACGAGAAAGAGGAATAGGAAGCATGAGGGAATGATGTATATCAACATGATTAGAACCACGATGTCGGAACCGGCAACAAGGAGTTATCTACATTAGTTATGTTGTACCGTCCTGTCTTTCCGCCTGCATGCATACAAAACCCAAGTACCAAAGTGCATGGCGCGGCGACACGCGACTGCAATCTTGTATATATATATATATATATGTATATATATACATACATATATATATATATATAAACATTTATATATATATGTATATATATATATATATATAGATACAAGACTGCATTGGCGCTTCGCGCCATACACCTTGGTCCTTGAAGTTTGGTGTGCAGGCGGAATAGCAGGAAGGTCAAGCCGACAATTTAGCGATAACTCCTTGTTGCCTTTTCCAGCATCGCCGCTATAATAATGTGATTCGTTATCCTTCCTCCATGTTTTTTCCATACCCTGCGCATTCTCCCCATCCTCCGCAGCTCTTTTTCGCGGAGGCTCCTCCTTGGAGACCCTCTGGGGGCCTCGAAAAAGTTGTTTCAGGCTTTCTTACGGCCTTCTGGAGGCCTCCTGGGCGTATTCTGGGGGCCTCTGGGGGCTTCCTCGGGCCACCCTGCCTCCAACCGCGGTCTCCCTGAACGACCGGGTCACGATTTGGAACGCTTCGGAGGGTGTCTTGGGGCCATCTTGGGCCGCCATGGGGCTCTCTGAGGGCCATCTTGGACGCGTGTTGTGCCGTTTTGGGGCTCTCTTGGACTGCCCGGAAGCCCTTTCGGGGCGATTTTGGAGCCTCCCCAGGCTTCGGACGCCCAGAAGACCGCCGTCTTGGAGCGTCGGGAAGCCGAAAAGAGGAGAACCTCCAAATTCACCAACAACCAACAGGAACTCAATGATTTGTGCCTCTTGGGGCCTTCTTGGGAGTGCTCTTGGAGGCCTCTTTAGGACCGTCCTGGAGGCCTCTTGGGCCATCTGGAGGTCACGTCGGTCACTCTTGGAGCGCTCTTGTGCTGTCTTGGGGGTCTCTGGGTCGTCTCCGATGACCCCCCTGATCGCCTCAGGTGTGGTGGGAAGGCTTGGCAAAACGCCCTGCGAGGCCTGGGGGGGCGCTTCGAGGCCCGTCCAGAGGGTCCCAAAGCCTCAGATCCCGGGAGTCCCGTTTTTTTTTCGGGGGGGGGGTATAAAAAAAGAATATTTGTAAATACCTAGTTTTGTGCCCACCGGCCAGTGCCGCCGACCCGGGGCGCTCCTGATGTTATCGGACATGGACGGTGACGACGACAACGGACGACCAACGATCGACGAGCGGGATACTTACGACGACGACCGACGAACGGGGTAGCGACGACGATTGACGACGACGATGACGACGATGATGACGACGACGACGAACACGAACATGAACACGAGCACGGACACGAACACGAACACGACGACGACGACGTCGACGACGACGACGACGACGACGACGACGACGACGACGACGACGACCACGACTCGTGTCCGAGCAATACCACGTCATACCATGCGCCTCTTGCCTGGCAGCACGCGAGTGAGCGCCTCTTGGGGCCTCAGGGCTATTGGGGGCTTCTGGGGGTCCTTCCAGGCCTTTCGGTCGGGGGCTTCTTGGGGTTTTCTTAGGGGTCTTTTGGAGATCTCTTGGGGGCCTAAGGCGGCCTAGGGGGCCCCTTGGGGCATCCTTCAGGTGGAGGACGCTCCAACGACCTGAGAAAGGCCCCCTTCAGGCCCAAGGGGAGGGGGTAGGGGAATGGGTCAAGACTCCCTCCAAATAGCAAGCCGTCTAGCTCACTCCCACCCGCCCTCCCATGACATACGTAACACCCGAGCCTCAGCATGTTCCGCGGTCGTCTTTTGATGGGCAGCCAGTTACTGGGAACCCAAACCGAGCCCATGTGCGCGACGCTGGGGCGAGGTGCGCCACGCGTGCCAGGCGCGCCACGCGCGCCAGGCACCCCTGGGGCCCGAGCGTGCCAGGCACGCCTAGTGCGCAAGATGCTCCCTCCAGCCGCGCCAGGTGCGTCACGTCCGGGGAACGTGCAGGGTTTGTCAGGTGCGCCTGCGCACGTGACAGCACACATCGGGAAACAGGTCGGCCCCCACCTTCCCTGTCGAAAACCAAATGCCCATCATTGTGTCTGGTGGGCCTGCGCACAGCAGGCCATACGCCAGCACCCCCGCCGTCCCTGACAGAAACCACTTGACAATGACCGCGGAGTGGCCGCGCACTGTCCACATTTAGCCGCGAGGTGCATTTTGTATTGTGTGTGTTGTCAGGGATGGTAGCCCTGCGCGCAGCATGCAATCTGCTGACACCTCCGCCGTCCCTGTCGAAAAAACAGTGCAAAGTGCCCGCGGGCCTCACGAACATGACTCCAGACTCACGCCTCACGAGTGCGTTTTGCATTGTTTTTTGAGGAATTGCGGGGGGGGGGCCCTCATGGTGTGCGCATGGTGCCGGCTTGGCTGCCGGCCGGGTGGGGAAGGGGGTGTTTAGTAATAGGGAACAGAGGTAGACCCTTCCCCGAAGGTAAGAAGGGGGTTGAACAGAGCCCGTCTCCAAACCACTCACGCCCAATAGGCTGGTAGGATTTACGATGTTGGCCTCTTGGGTCCCTCTTGAGGCCTCTCAGGGTCAGTTTTGGGGCCTCTCTAGGGTCTTTGGGGCTTCTGTGGGGCCTCTTTGGGGCCTCTGTGAGCCTCTTGGAGCTTCTTGGACGCCTCTTGGGGCGTCTTGGGAGCCTCTGCGGAGCGTCTTGGGGCGGGAGGCTCGAATTGGCGATTCTGGGGCTCCTTCTTGGACTCGTCTTGAGATCGTCTTTGGGCCCTCTGGGCCCGTCTTGGGCGCGCCGCGGACTTTCTGGAGGCCCTCTTGAGCCGTCTGGGAGCTCTCTAGGGAGCTTCGTGGGCCGGGTGGGGGCGGTCTTGGAGACCTGTTGGGCCGTCTTGTAGCGTCGGAGCGCCGAAGCCGAGAAAGACGAACAGTTTTGAGAAAGGCAAGGACAATTTACGATTTGGGCCTCGTAGGGTCTTTTTATAAGGCCTCTTGGAGGGCTCTTGGGCCGTCTTGGCGGCCTCTTCGGCCGTGTTGGGTCCACCTCGGGCATTCTGGCGCAATCGTTCGGCGTCCCCACACCCCTTCCCCGACAGAGCCACTCCGGCACCCTCCCACCAGCTGAGCTGAAGTCGAACTTGGCGGATTTTACTGTGTTTCCCGCCCCCCGCGAAACCGGAGTATGTATGTGTATGTATGTTTGTTTGTATGTATGTATGTATGTATGTATGTATGTATGTATGTATGTATGTATGTATGTATGTATGTATGTATGTATGTACGTATGTACGTATGTACGTATGTACGTATGTACGTATGTACGTATATATATATATATATATAGATGCACATGCACACATCTATATGTACACGTATATGTGTGTATATGTGTGTACACCCGCCTCGCAGTTCTGGCACCTCTTGCCCTAATTAAGCTCAGACTGCAGCCGGGCGCCTGGCTCGTTGTTGGGATTTCCGTGATGGTTCGCATGCTCAGTCAGATATGGACGTAGGGGCGAAGCAGAGGCCGCAGCTTGAACGTCGCGGGGAGCAGGCCCAGGCGTGCATTTCGAGCTGCTCCTGCGCAGTCGGCTAAGGCTCGGGGCTCCGCTGCCTGTCCTGGGCTCAGGCTCAGGCCCAACACCTGGCTGCGCCTGCGAGAGTGTGGCCGAGGCTTCGGTTCGGCCCCTGGGCTCTGAAACATCGAGGCCCGCCCCTGAGACTCGGGGCCCTCTTCGCCTTTGCGCCCGACCCGAGGAAGCAGTGCGGCGAGGATCCCGCCGCCGACGGGCAGAAGGTCTCGACCCGCGAGACCGCGCCCGCGCTCGAGGTGGTGCACATCCCCTCCGAGATGGCGGCGCAGCACAGGGCCGCCGCGCGCGTGCAGGGCCTGTGCCGCATGAGGCCCGCGGGGCGCCCTCCGCACCCGCTCGGGGCGCCCGCGGCCTGGGCGTCGGGTCGCATACATCATCTGGGCCTCCCGGGATAGGGTCCGAGCAGGTCTCCTCCTCCTTCTCCTCCTGCTCCTCCTCCTCCTCCTGCTCCTCCTCCTCTTCTTCCTCCTTCTCCTCCTTCTCCTCCACCTCCTCCTCCTCCTCCTCCTCCTCCTCCTCCTCCTCCTCCTCCTCCTCCTCCTCCTCCCTCCTCATCCTCCTCCTCCTCCTCCTCCTGCCCCTCCTCCTCCTCCCTCTCTCTCCTCCTCCTCCTCCTCCTCCTCCTCCTCCTCCTCCCCCCTCCTCCTCCTCATCCTCCTCCTCCTCCTCCTTCTCTCCTCCTCCTCCTCCTCCTCCTCCTCCGCCTCCTCCTCCCCCCCTCCTTCTCCTCCTCCTCCTCCCCTCCTCCTCTGCTGCTGCTCCTCCTCCTCCTCCTCCTCCTCCTCCTCCTCCTCCTCCTCCTCCTCCTCCTCCTCCTCCGTAGCCATCTTGGCTCAAGGCCTCGTTCCCCCGATTTCTCGACAGCCCTTCGCCCATGGCCGGTGGCTCTTCGCTGGCGGCCTGGGGGCGGCGCGGCTGAGGGAGGTCCGGAACGACGTGGCTGCGGGATGCGCCGCGGCAAGGCCGCCTGCAGGAGGGCCTTTGCGAGGCGCCGCGGCACCGCGGACAGCCGCTGACAAGCTGGTCAAGCGCCTCTTGAGGGAGCTCGAGGAGGCGCGGAAGGAGTGCCAGTATTTGCAGGATGCCTTTGCGTTGGCCATCGCGGACGGCGACATCGGCGACAGGATCCTGGCGCTGATCCCCTCGGGTTTGCGCCTCCTGGCGCTCCATTCCGTGGTCGAGGGCATCGACGGCATCGCCACGGCTGGCGGGCCGTCCTTGAGGCGTGCTGCCAAAGGGGCAATGCTGGACAACCTGGCAGCGTTCAGGGCGCCTCGTTGGAGTGTATTTTGAAGTTTTGCAGCCTGGATGTCATGCGGCCCGCGGCTGGCCCGACGGCCTGTACCCTGGCCGCCCCCGAGTCCGTGCTTGGTGCTCTCGCCAACGGCGTTGTGTGACGATCCGCCGACGAGTAGGTCGACATGTTGCTGCAGGCGTTGGCTGCTACCGATCCCACGTGCGGGGCCCAGCCCCCCAACACGACGTGTGCACGTATGCTGAGGGTGGAGGCGTGCCTGCTGGCTTGCCGCCTGCGGCGTAACTGGTGCAGCAGGAGCCGCCGCCCGCTCCGCCTGCCGCGGGGCCGAGAGGAGTCGTGTCCGCTTGCGTCGAGGGCAAGGAGAAGACAGAGCCTTCTCATGGAGATGGTTCCCGTGAGGATTCGGCTAATTACACTGCAGGGGCTATCGGGGATTCGGCGCCTGGATGTGCGGTGGGTCGCATCAAGCCAGCTCTGGAGGCCGGAGTGGAGCCCCCTTCGGAGGTCACGCGTCGTGTGTGGGGATCAGGAGGGAGCGGCCCTGATGTACGAGAAGTTCGAGGCTGCACGGGCTGAGCCGTGGATTCTGGACTCCGCGAGGGAGGGCGTGGTGAAGGCCTTCGCGGCGGTGGAGGCGGCCGAGCTACGTGCCGCGGGCAGCTCGTGATGGAGTGCGAGGGCGTCGGGTGGCCGCTGGCCGAGCCCGCGGCGCGTCGTGAGCTGGCGGCGGCCCCCGCCCCTCGTCCTTCCCCTCCTCCGCGGCGCGGGCCCGTCGCGGTCGTCGGAGGCGGATTATTTTTTGTTGTTTCTCCCTGTTCTTTCTCCCTCCATGCGCAGTGCAGCTTCTTCCTCCTCCTTCGCCATGATTCATCGCCTGCGACTGTCTGCGCTCGTCTGTTCAAGCTCTGCGCGCCCGCCCTGTTCCATCCAGTTCTGTTGACCAAGCATACAGTCAAGGCCAGGCTTACTGTTCTCACCCGCGGGGCCCCTCACCTTCAGGGCCCGCTCAGGCGGGCGTTCAACCAGGACGCCGCTTCCGACGGGTGGGGCTCCTCCTCCTCCTCCTCTTCCTCTTCCTCCTCATCCATCCTCCCTCGCGGGGTCGGAGGATCGCGCCGCACCGCCGATGCATCGGCGATGCGGCGCGACGTGGAGCCCGATTCCCTCCACGCCCGCGTCGCCGACGCATCGCCGACGTCGCCGACGCATCGGTGGCGCATCGCCGGTGCACGCGCGATCCTGCGACCCCACCTGCTCTGACCTCGTCTGGGCAGCCTCTGGTCGAGCCCTCGGGGCGGGGGGGTCGCGGCGGGCCCCTTCGGTGGCAGCCTCCGCGCAGATGCTGCGCCAGAGGGCGGGCTCCGAGCCGGGCCCGAGGTCGGGTCGGGTCCGCGCCGGCGCCGAGGCCACCCCCTGCAGGCCGAGGCGCAGAGGGAAGGCGTCCGAGAGGTTCCTCCCGCCGGCCTCGGGTCGGGGGGCGCCCATCGTCGCTCGAGGTCCCATGCCCAGAGCCTTCGCAGAGGCACCATCCTGGCGAGATTTCAGATCCGGGTCCAGCCGCGTTCACAGGGGCGCACCCTTGGGGCTCGGGTTTTCCCACCCCTTGGAAGCCAGAGAGCGACCAGCGAGAAAGCATGATAAGCCGGAGGAGGAGGAGGAGCCACGCCGCCCAAATGGGGTCCAACTACGTAGATATGTCGGATGATCGCACCGCGTCGGCGATGCGTCGCGATCAGGGTCCCGATCTCGTCCATCCTATCGTCGCTGATGCGTCAGCGATGCATCGGCGACCCTCAGACCGCATGTGCTCGGACCCCATTTGGGGCGTCTCGAAAAGAGGAGGAGGAGGAGGAGGAGAAGAGGAGAAGAAGAGAAGAGGAGGAGGAGAAGAGGAGGAGGAAGAGGATGAGCAGGAGGAGGAGGAGGAGGAACAAGAGGATGAGGAGGAGGAGGAGGAGGAAGAGGAGGAGGAGGAGGAGTAGGAGGAGGAGGAGTGAGAGTCGCCTCTTCCTGTTGTTGGCCTGTGATTTCGAGTTTTTGGTTATTGTCCATCTCCCCCCCTCAACCTCGCCCTGCGCTCTCTCTGGGCTTTCTGTTGTTCTTGTACAGTTGGCCTTTCCCGAACCGCGCGGCCCTGCCGCCAAATCCACAACTAGTTGTTCATCACTCCGCGAAGTCGGTTTCTTACACCAGCGGGACGCTCCAGCCTAGAAGCTTGAGTTTACCCCACGAAAAAAAGGGGGAGGAGGAGAGAGGAGGAGGAGGAGGAGGAGGAGGAGGAGGAGGACGAGGAGGAGGAGGAAGAGGAGGAGGAGGAGGAGGAGGAGGAGGAGGGCGACCCGCGCGAGGCGTTCCAAGCAGCAGGCGGGCGAGCTGCGCAGAGCGCAGCGGGTGCGGGCCGAGCAGGCCCGCCACCGCAGCCGCCGCTGCTGCCGCAGGGCCCACTTCAATCCGTCCGATCCGGTGCGCCTTCGATTTCGGCCTCCTCCTCCTCCTCTTCCTCCTCCTCCTTCACCTCCTCCTCGCCCTCCTCCTCTTTTTTCTCCTCCTCCTCCTCTTTCTCCTCTCCCTCCTCCTCCTCCTCCTCCTCCTCCTCCTCCTCCTTCTCCTCCTCCTCCTCTTCCCACTCCTCCTCTTCCTCCTCCTCCTCCTCCTCCTCCTCCTCCTCCTTCTTCTCCCTCCTCCTTCCTCCTCCACCTCCTCCTCCTCCTCCTCCTTCTCCTCCTCCTCCTCCTCCTCCTCCTCCTCCTCCTCCTCCTCCTCCCCTCTTCCTCCGCCTCCTCCTTCTCCTCCTCCTCCTCCTCCCCCCCCCTCCTCCTCCTCCTCCTTCTCCTCCTCCTCCTCATCCTCCTCCTCCTCCTCCTCCTCCTCCTCTCCTCTTCCTCCTCCTCCTCCTCCTCCTCTGCTGCTCCTTCTCCTCGCCCCTCTCCTCCTCCTCCTCCTCCTCCTCCTCCTCCTCCTCCTCCTCCTTCTCCTCCTCCTCCTCCTCCTCCTCTCAGCATCTCAGCGACTTCGGTGTTCCGACGCTCCCGTGTGGCCCGACGTTTGCATCCCCAGACCTCCTCGCGTTTTGAAGTAATCACGACGGGAGGTTTTTCGCCATGTTCGCCCTCTGGTGGCGCTTCCGGGGCCTCGGGACTGTCAACAAATGACTCGGGATGAAAACCCGGTTCCCGGGAAGGTGTCCAGACCTCTGGGGGTCGACGTTGCGAAAGAATTACGACGTCGGGGGTCTGGGTCTGGGGGTTGTTGTGCATCTTGGCGCCCTGGTCACCAGCTCCGTGCCAGTGCGGCGCGGTCCGGCCCGCGTGCCGACCGATCTTGCAGGGCTGGCGCCGTCGCATGTTGTTGGATCTGGGTGCTCAAGCTCTCCGCCGCCGAAAGCGGTGTGCGCTCAGAGCAGGAGCGCTGCAGGGCCGCGGGACAGCGTGGCATCGACAGTATGGCTCCGCACGCTTGTCCAGTTGTGCTCCAGCGAGTGAGAACACGGCAAAGCCCCAGGATCGGGGGCACCGATAGGGGGGGATAGGCGTTGGGGGGGATGCATCGACCTCGAATGGTTAATGCATCGACGATGCATCGCTGATATCAGGGCGATGTATCAACGATGCATGGGGCGGTCTGCATCGACGACGTCTCGACGATTCATGGGCGATGCATCGGCCATCCCAGGTCGATGCGTTACCCTCTATGCCTACCCCGCCGTATCGTCGCCCCTCACAGGACAGCGATGCAGTGACAGTGGAGCGCCGAGCGGTAGCGCAGCCACCATCGCCGTCGACGCCAGATGGGATGGGGGGGGCGACGACGACGACGACGACGACGACGACGACGACGACGACGACGACGACGACGACGACGACGACGACGACGACGGCGGCGGCGGCGACGACGACGACGACGACGATGATCGCGACGCCGACGACGGCGACGGCGACGGCGGCGGCGACGACGACAACGACGATGATGAAGACGACGGCGACTACGGCGGTGGTGGCGGCGACGACGACGACGACAACGGCGACGACGACTGCGACGACGATGACGGAGACGACGACGCCGACGCGGTCGCGGCCGGCCGCAGGCCGAGCGCGAGCGCGCCAAGGCGGCGGCGGGCCTGCTGCAGCGGGCCGTGCGGGGCTGGCAGGGTCGCCGGCGCGCCCTCGGGCTGAGGCCGCCAGGGGGCGGGTCCCTCCCCCCCCGGCTCGGCCAGGGCTGCCAGATACTCCCAGACCCCCTCGAGCATTGAAAGCAGCACGACGGGAGGATTTTCACAATTTTCGGCCCCTGGGAGCCCTTACCGGGCCTCGGGACCGCCAGAAATGGACTCGGGATGGAAAACCGGTCCCGGGAATAGGTTCAGACCTCGGGGGGTCGACGTAATTAAGAAATCATGGCGTAGGGGGTTTGGGTACCAAAAGATGCTCGCGTCCTGACCCAAAAAGTTAGCCTGGCGAAGGACCCGACCATATGCAGTTGAAAACACAGCCGTTGTATGCACCGCATTCGGAGATTTTTTTTATGGGGCTACCGAACGTGTGAGGGCTGTACCAAAATGGGCGCGGTGGCCGCATGCGAACGCTGGTATTTGGGCCTTCGGTGGGGCTCCATGTGCAGGCCGAATGCGGACGCTGGCACTTGGGCCTTCGGTGGGGCTCCCTGTGCAGCCACGAAGCATGTGAGCGGTGTGCCAAAATGGGCGCGGTGGCCGCATGCGAACGCTGACAATTGGGCCTTCGGTGGGGCTTCCTATGGAGCCACGAAGCGTGTGAGGAGTGTGCCAAAATGGGCGTGGTGGCCGCGTTCGAACGCTGGCACTTGGGCCTTCGGTGGGGCTCCCTGTGCAGCCACGATACGTGTGAGGGGTGTGCCAAAATGGGTGCGGTGGCCGCATGCGAACGCTGGCACTTGGGCCTTCGGTGGGGCTCCTTCTGGGGCCACGAAACGTGAGATTGGTGTGCCAAAATGGGTGCGGTGGCCGCATGCGGACGCTGGCATTTGGGCCTTCGGTGGGGCTCCCCATGGGGCCACGAAACGTGAGAGGGGTGTGCCAAAATGGGCGCGGTCGCTGCATGCAGACGCTGGTATTTGAGCGTTCGGTGGGGCTCCCTGTGGGGCCACAATGCGTGTGAGCGGTGTGCCAAAATGGGCGCGGTGGCCGCATGCGATCGCTGACACTTGGGCCTTCGGTGGGGCTCCATATGGGGCCACGAAACATGTGAGCGGTGTGCTAAAGTGAGGGGGGGACGGGATGAGGAAGGAGGAGGGGGAGGATGAGAGGAGTGACGCGGGAAGCCGTTTCTTCAAAACGAGGATCCAACGTCACATGGGCGGCGCCGGAGGGGGCCCTGCGCGGATACAAGAAATCTGCGCGGAGCTCTAAAAGTTTATGTTTATGGCGTTTGTGTTTCCTTCTTCTTCTTCTTCTTCTTCTTCTTCTTCTTCTTCGTTTCATTCGTCTTCTTCTGCTGAGGTTTTTCACCGTTTGCTGGCTCTCGGTGTCCTCCACGGGCCCCAGGGCCGATCAGGAAGCGACCCGGGATGAGGAACTCGTTCTGAGTGAAGGCCCCCAGGGTCCAGGACCGTTTCCCGCAGGACCCGCTTCCCTCGGCCCCGTCGCTCTCGCCGTCGTCCTCCTCGCCGCCGTCGCCCTCGCCCTCCTGGCCGTCGCCGCCGTCCTCGCCGCCGTGTCGTGCGCCCCGCGCCTCGCCGTGCGTCCTCGTCCTCGCCCGTGCGTCGGCGTATTGGCGTCCTCGTCCTCGCCGCCGTCGGGGGCCGAGGGCTCTCGGAAGCCGGGGCGCGCCACGGCACGGCGAGCTTTTGGCGCCTCGGCGCTCGGCTCGGCGGCCTTCGAGGTGAAGCTTGTGTGTGGCTGCATTCGCACTCCAGGGGGGGGGGGGGGGCGGCCCTCGGGGCAGCGCTGGGGCGCGGCGCCGTCGGTTGCACGCCATGGGCCCCCCCCCCCCCCCCCCCCCGCAGCATTGGCTGGCGCGCTCTGGTCTGGCCACCCCGCGGCCCCGCCAGGGGCCCATCGGGGCACTCTGGTTCGCGGCCGAGGCCAGAGAGACCCGCCCGCATGGCGTCTGCGAGGGGTCCGGGCCGGATATCGATGCGGAGCGAAGACGGCCCTGCCGGTTGTGAGCCGAGATTCCGCCGCGCCGACTCGACTCGGTGGGGGTGCGGGCGCAGGCGGAAGAGGATGGAAGGGGCCCCCGTACCTCCGGGGGCCGGCGGCCCCATGGCGCGAGTATTCCAGTCGAGAGGTCGGGGCCGAGGGCCTCGCCGTTCGCCGTCGTCGGAGGTTCTCTCGCAGGTCCCCCGCGGTCTTCGGCGGGCCATCCGTCGGGCGTGGCGCAAGCGGGGGGGCGCTGCACGGGGGGGTGAGGAAAGGTGCATCTTTTGTGCCCCCAAGGGGCACGAAAGGTGCACGTCCCATCGCCCCGCGATTTACCCCCCCCCCCCCCCTCCACGATTAGGTCGGGCATGTCCTCCTACAGACGAGTTTAGGAAGACAAATGCAACGAATAATCCGAAACTATTGAAGAATAGGCAACAATAGTAGACAAATCGTCCCAGACTATTTTTGATTATTTTTGAATGTTCCTCCCATAGAGGGACATGCCCGACTTAACTCCACAAAGCAACGACTCGGCCCAAGATGTACAGGTGAGCCGCAGGCGAAGGCGGGGCCGAGGGCGCAGACGTATTCGCCAGGCGGCTGCCCGCGCGGGGCCGCCTTGCGCAGGGCGCCCTCTCTCTGCCCGCTCGGCCTGCCGCGTGGGCGGCCCGCGCACGCCCCGCGCGCAGGGTGGCCGCGTCCTCGTGCGCCAGGCCTAACTCGGGCGTGCCCCTCTACAGGAGGAATGCCCAAAAATAGTCAAACAAATCATATGGGGAAGATTTCCCGACTATGTTAATATTTGGGAATGTTTTTCGCAATTTTTCAATTTTCGCTCAAAATCCGCCTGTAGGAGGACATGCCCGACCTAACGCCAGGCCCAGTGTGCCTCGTCGTCCTGGTTGTGGGCAAGATGTTTGATCCGTACCCACTGCGTCTTGGACTTTATGGAAAAGGGGGCGCCATGGAGGCCGAGGCACAGTGGGCTGGAGTTAGAGGCCCAGTCTCGAGGGACCAAAATGTGATTCATATCCACTGCGCCTCTGGTTTCTGGGAAAGGGAGCCCGGGCCTCCAAAACGCAGTAGATCTCGCAGTAGATCTGGGAACCAATCTTGCCCGCACTGGTGCCCTTCAGTCAAACAAAGTCCTCCGAGCATCAACAAACGCAAGATCTCGCGGGGCCCTTAGATCCTACGGGTTCTCTCTGACATGTACGGGGTGTGCTTTCAGAACCGCGGAGCCCCTGGATGGCGCAATTGGTCGCGCGAAACAAGGATTGAGTCCGGAGCAGGATTAGAAGGAGCTCGGAGGAGGAACAGGAAGAGGGGGAAGAGGTGGAGGAGGGGCCGGGAGAAGAGGACGAGGAGGAGGCGGAAGTGGCGGAGGATGAGGAGGAACCATCAGCGAGAGTGAGGCGGCGAAACGGTCTTGCAGAATCCCTGGGTGCGTGTCTGAAGTGACACATCGCTGTGCGGATTCTTGATGTTGCTGTTGTTGTCGTCGTCCCGCCCGCGACCAACCTCGACCCGTCCCGCCTCAAGGTTGAAGGAGATATTTGAGGGAAACGTGCCATCATGATCGCCATCGTCATCGTCGTTATCGTCGCCACCATGAACCATCTCTTGCAGGCAATCCAATACGATAGTGTGTCGAGCATGGCCTCCTTGTACGAAGTGTCTCTAAACACAGAAGTCCCATCTGTTGGACTAGTATTTACGGTCGTCGGAAGTCGAGACTCCAAATATATTAGGCCAAGAAAACGACGAGACACGTGAAGTCAGAGACACTTCACGCAAGGTGGCCGTATTCAAGACACTTATCGTATTAGATGTCGTGCGATGACGATGACGATCGTGACGACATGCTTGCCTCATGGATCTGCGTCTTCCTTGGCGTGGGGCGGGGCGATGTGGGTCGCGGGGGTGACGACGACAACATTTACAGCACGAGTCCGCACAGCGAAACGCCACTTCAGCCACGCACCCAAGAATGGTGTAAGACCATTCTGCCCCCTCACTCTGGTCATGACCAGCGGTGACGGTGACCTCTCTGCAAATGACGATAGGTTGGGGCGTCCACCGATCTCTTCCGAATACGGATGACCTGACTCTTCGGCGCGATAACCATAATATTGAAAATTCACAAGCGACTTGATTGTGCAAGTCGCCATCGTGCGATTCTAGAACAGCTTGAGAACGCCAAACCGTAATATTTCCACAATGCATGTCTGTACGGTGTTATCGCTTCTCTGTCGGGATCCCTGTCTATCTTTCTGAAGGTGCTGTATGCTTTTTACGGGTCGTAGTGGAAGGTGCTCGTTTCCTATTGCGGTCTTCTTGCAGCGCCCGCAAAAGTCTAACAGTACCGTTATTTTGAGAAGAACCGTTTGTGTATCGAGGATTCGGGGGCGGCAGAGAGGGCGGTGATGACTAGGGGGGGTGGATCTCATGGCGTGGGCCATGATATTTCGCCGGATCTCACGGCGCCCCTTCTTGTTTCGTTGCGTCCCTGGCCCCCCCACCCTGGGCCGCGCACGTGCCGCCGTCCATGATTCGCGCCCCCCCCCCCTCTTGGACGCCCCCCCCCTTGGCCGCGCCCGAAGGATGTGGATGCCCAGGGTCCACGAGGGCACGACGGCACTTTCCAGGGAGGCCCTGAAGCGCCCTGTGCCGTCCTCGCCGGCCAAGTCTCTCTCGGGGTGCCCCCTTGGGGCCGACGCGGCGTGCTCGGGGCATGCGCGGCGCGACGCCCCCGCAGCCTGCCCCCCGCCCCTAGGGATTCCCAAGGATTCCTAGGGATTCGTAGGGGTTCCTAGGGATTCCCAGGGAGTCTTAAGGATTCCCATGGATTTCTAGGGATTCCTAAGGATTCCTGGGGATTCCGATGCATTCCTCGGATTCCCAGGGATTCCTCCCAGCGGCGCTCTCCCCGCGGGCGGGGGCACCACGCGCAGCGGCGAGCCGCGCGCGCACCTAGAATGGTGGGCCAGTTTTCCACCACCAGTGGCATAGGTAGGACAGGTGAGAAGGGAGGATGGGGAGGTCCTCCTCCTCCTCCTCCTCCTCCTCCTCCTCCTCCTCCTCCCTCTCCTACCTATGGTGGTGGCGGCGGTGGTGGAAATCGGCGCATCATAGAGCAACTCGCAGCCACCTCTGCCACCGAGGTCCGACGACGCGAACAACACATGCCGCCTCGCGGACAATCGCTGCCCGGGCCCTGGGCCCCACCCTCTCGCGCCACGTCTCGAGCCGCGGCGATCTGCGAGGGCCCCCGGGGCCGGGAGCAAGGCGGCCTCGGCCGCAGCGAAAGAGCTGCGACGCCAGGATCTCGTTGCAGGCGCGTGGCGCGCGGCGCGCCCACCCGGAACAGCTCGCGGCCACGCCCCGCGAAAAACCTGGCGCGCGGCAGGCGAGGGCCCCCGCCGCCGCCCCCCCCGCGCGCGCGTGCATACGGCGGGAGCGCTCGTTGAGGGCTGTGCCCAGGAGGCTTCAGACCCTGGAGCCTGGCACCGCTCGGACGTGTGCACTTTTTGTTCTCGGCGGGGGCCATCAAGGAGCATCCTGAGTCATCTCGCGGAAAAACACACACACGCACTCACGAAACCGAAAGGTGCACACGGGATGGGCGTCCGAGCGATGGCAAGATACGGCGGGACGTTGAGGGATGTGCCCAGCAGGCTTCAGACCCTGGAGGCTTCCTCATCTGCTGAGGGCGGCGGTGATGGCCGTGGCCAGGCCTCAATGGGTGCCCCACCAAAGCCCAGGCCCTGGAATCCTGGCCCCCAAGACCCTCGACGTCACGATTTGTTCAGAACGTCGACCCCCGAGGTCTCGGCCCAGTCCCCAGGACCGGCTTTTTACGCCAAGCCGTTTTTTGACCGTCCCGAGGCCGAGTCGGGGGCCCCCCCAAGGCCAAAAGTGGCGACAGCATTTCCCGTCATGCTTGTTCCGTTGCTCGAGGGAGTCTGACCCACGGGTTCCTTGCCCGGGGCCCTTTGCCGTATCGTCACCGCCCGGCCGCAGGGCGGCGAAGCTGCAGCAGCAGCTCGCCGCGCTGGTGGGCGGCGAGGGCCTGGACCTGGCCGCGGAGGGCGGCCCGCGGCAGCAGGACGCCGGCTGGCTGGAGGCGCCGCGCGCGACGACGACGACGACGACGACGACGACGACGACGACGACGACGACGACGACGACGACGACGACGACGGCCCCCCACGACGACGACGACGACGACGACGACGACGACGACGACGACGACGACGACGACGACGACGACGACGACGACGACGACGACGACGACGTCGGCCCCCCACGGAAGCAGACGGATGACAGACCTCGGACTGGGCGGCGAGAGCTGTAACAAGACCCCCCTCGAGTCACAAGAAGATCACTGCTGGAAGGAAACGGGAAGTGACACCAACACCACCAGGGGGCCGCCCCTGGCGAGGAGGTCTACGATGCCTCCCCGAGCTGGGGAAAGAGGGTGTCTCGAGCGAGGGGGGGGGGGCGCCCCACCAGGGGAACCCCTCCCTGGCTCCCCCCGCTGGTGGTCCCTGGTGGTGTTGGTATCGTTTTTCCATGTTCCTGCACTGCGGGAGGTTTTTCTTAATTTTCGGCCTCCAGGAGCCTTCCCTGGGCGTGTTTGAGGACTGTCCAGGGATGACGCAGGATGAAACGTTGGTTCTGGGAAGTGGGTCAAGACCTTCTAGGGGTCGATGGGATCAAACAAGTCATGAAGTCGGTGGTCTGTGCACTCAGACATCCGATCATCCTTGCGTCTCGAAATAAACGAGACGGAGATTCTTCATTACTTTCGGCCTCTTGGGGCCCTTTCCAGGCCTCCGTCGAAAGACGGCTCGTGATGAGGAGTTCGTCCTTGAGAAGTGATCGCGAGGCTGGGGGCTCATGTCTCAAAAAATTGAGACGCTGGATGTCCCGGGTACCCTCAAGATCTTTGGGACACATGTTTCTCGAGTCGGGCGCCCTCGAGTATTGTTGGGCCCCGCGACCCTCACGCTTCGATCTGGCTCGAAACGTGGCGCAGGAAGATGGGGCCCAGGGCTCTGGTAGCGACTCTTTGTTCTTTTGCCCGGCAAGGTCGGATCTGAGGGCGAGCCATATGTAAACCAGGCCCCTCCCAGGCCTGGGACTGGGATTGGTGCACGCGCATCCCCCAACGAGCCAGGAGGGCGCACTGGTGCCGATCCTGGACCCAGGACGGGCCCGGGCCAGACGTCTGGCGGAGGAGGGCCCCGACCGTCCCACCTTGCCCCGGGCTGCTCGCGGCGGGGTGGGGGAGTCGGCCCTGGGGCCGCTCGCGGGGGCCACGCAGAGGGGGGCTTGCGGGGGGGGGGGAGGGGGGGGGGCGCGGGCCCGGGGCACCCGGGCGCCGCAGTGAGGGGCCGCGCTTGGGGTCCACACCGGGGTGCGGCACCGCGGGGCCGCACCCTTGGGGGAGAGGGGGGGGGGGGGGGCACACGTCGGGGGGCCCGCGCCAGGGACGCCCTGCACTTCCCCTCGCCCTCGCATCCCCCGGTCACGCTCCTCTGCGGGCGCGGGGTGCTGCGTGCGACTCGGAGTGCGACTCCCCCCTGGATCATGTGATCCTGGTTGTGGGCCACAGGATCATGTGTTGCCAAAGAATCCGCGCGGACCTCCAACAGTTTCTGTTCATGGTGATCGTTTTTGAATTGGTTGTTTTGCCAATCGGCGTGGGCCCTCGCACCCCCCCCTCCCCCCCCTATGGAGTAGGTCTCGGCTGTTTGGGGCGTCTGTTTCGAGCAGGTGGAGTCCCCCCCCTGAGGACGCACGGTTGCAAACAGTTGCAGTCCCCGCGGCGAGGTGCCGCTGCACCTCGCTCTCGTGCCGCTGTGTTTGCTGCCATGCGAGAAAGGCATGGGAGTGGAGCGGGCTCACAGTCGCACTCAGCAGAGGTCCGGAGCCAGACCCTCCCCCCCTCCCCCCCCTTCCGCCCCATGTCGCAACGCCCAATCCGAAACGTTCGCATGCCTTTTTTTGTGTTCACAAGCGGGGGGGGCCCGTGGCGTCCTTGCTGCTGCACCTGCTCCTTTTTGTCGAGGGACTAAGACTCGGGCCGCTCGGGGCCTGGCCTCCTCCTCCTCTTCCTCCTCCTCCTCATCCTCCTCCTCCTCCTAACCTCCCCCCCCTCTCCCAGCCCCCCCTCCCTGAAGCTCGGAAGGGGGCGCTGCGCATCGCCAGCGACGCCGCCGCCGCCCACGAGAAGCTCGGCGTGCGGCTGCGCCGGGCGCCCGCCGCCCGGGGCGCGGCCCCGGAGGCGGCCGGCGCCGCGCGGAGCAGCTCCTCCTGGGCCGTGGGCCCGCGCGCCGTGGCGGCAGGGCGGTTGGCCCTGGCCGCGCGCGCGGCGCAGGAGCCCCGCCGAGGCGTCTCGCGCGCAGTGGCGGGAGCGTCCCCGCGTGCCGAGAGGCCTACCCCAGATTTCGTAACAAAGGGAGGGGGGTCTCATTTCGGGGGGGGTCTCTTCCAGGCTATCTTGGAGGGCCTGGGGGGTCTGGGGACGATGTTTTGGAGGGTTCTCCCACGGGGGAGGTCTGAAATGGCTTGTCTTGGAGGGTCCAGACCCCCTCCCTTTTATTACGAAATCTGGAGTACCCAAGGAATGTTCTGAGAGCCTTGCTGTGGTTCCCACGGGATGTTCTTATCGGCAACATCCCAACATACCTATACTATAGGTGCGTCGCCCCCCCGAGGGGCGACGCGCGCCCCGAGAAATCTGATAGTATATGCGTCGTGGCGGGCGCTTTCTGGCCACACCGCTCGGGAGACGATGTACTACAAGATGGGTATACTATATGTTCGGGTCGGACGCGCGCCTCCAAGGAGGACATATAGTATTAGTCTGTCCATGTGCGTCCCATCTTAGAGCATTTCTGGATGGGGCTGTCTTGGTGTATCGCATGGGGCTTCTGTTCTAAGAGCACGGGTTTTGTTCTTGGAGCAGGTTTGGGTTCTACAACCACTTCGTGGTAGGATTATAGGAATGCCGGGACGGTCGGTCCCTGCTCAACCGCCGAGACTTGGCCCCGGCATGCTTGCCATCGGGCGGCGAGGTCTAATCCCAGACCCCCTCGAGCAAGGACAAAGAAGTCACGACGGGAGGTGTTGCATGATCTTCGGGCTCTGGAGGCCCTCACCGGGCCGCAGGACCGTCAAGAGACGACTCTGGATGAAAAACTGGCGAACAGGTCGGGACCTCTGGGGGTCGACGTCATGCAAAAGTCATGACGCCGGGGGTCTGGGATACCCGGAGGAGGAAAAGGTACCCGTACCTTCTAGCCGTCCCTCTTCCGCTTGGCGCACGGAGCCCGGGGCTCGCTCTCTTGCTTCGGCGGCCGCTGCCGCCGTCTCTGACGCTACGAGCGGGTGCTCGCTCGGCAGCCTGCGCAAGACAAAGGTACCCATACCGCTACCCTTCCACCCTGCCCTCGCCTTCCCCTTTTGGGGCCTCCACTGGGAGGCCCTCGTCGCCACCGCTGGATTCGCCTCGGAGTCCTGGTCAGAACGCGCCCCGGGAGAGGGCCGTGGGGTAGCGGTATCGGTACCTTTGTGGTTTCCCCAAAGACATGCCCACCGACCCGGGTGAGGCCCATCCTGGGCCCAGGAGCGGTCTAGATGCTCCCGGGTCGGGTTTTCACAGCCCCCCCAAAGATGGGAAGGGTCCCAGGCTTCCACAGCCCCCCTCCTTCCCACTTCCAGATGGGACGGGGGGGGGCGACGACGACGACGACGACGACGACGACGACGACGACGACGACGAACCACGAACCACTCCACACCCACAGGGCGAGCGGGGGGCACCGGCACCACGCCACGCCCACATGGTCACGACAACAGGGTTGGGGGAGCGATCCCATTGACGAGGCCTTCGCGAGGCTCACTGGCGTACCCATCCAGCCAGGGGGGGGCTCGATCCTACTCGCATTGGACGGGGGGGGGCAACCCTGGATCATATATGCGTCCCTGGCCAAGACAGGTGGAGCGTATACACCGCTCCTGGGCCCAGGATGGGCCAGGTTCTGGGTTCGAGAAGGTTTTTGGCTCGTTTCGGTCCTGGGGGCCGTTTACGGGCTGTCAAGAACCGGTCCAGAGTCCACCAGGTGGACCCTGGGAGGGGTCTTGGGACAGAGCTGGACAGGATGTGGTCTCGTCTCCCCTCCCTTGGGACCGAGTTTCTCGGCATCCAACAAGTTCAGACCCCTCGCTGCCCCAAACCCCTTGACATGCTGTGTGCAGAGCAGCGTGCGTCGGCCCTCCAGCGGCGACGCGCGCGCTCGGAGATCTTATGTGGCGTACGCTCGGTGGCGGGCGGCGCCCTCTGGCCATGCCGCCCGAGCAGTTGCACCAGGATGCGCTGCACGGTGGTCGTGTCGCTTGTCGGGTTCGCGGCACAGATGTCGGCTGGCTCGGCAGCCGAGGGCGGGTGCACAGCAGTCTCTGCTCGGCGGAGTCTCCATCGCATCCGTTGGGGAGCCGGCGGTGCAAAAGCCGCTCTCGGGACAAACGCTGAGAGGTGCTCTGTTCCGTCATGCCCTGGTAGGTATAGGATATCGATCAGCCCTGTCAGACTCGGACGTGCGCCTCCAGGGGACGGCTATGGGTGCCCATGGGGGGGGCTCCAGAAAGGGCCCTGCCCTGGAGGAGTCAGGTGGATGAGGGCTCTCCCTCGGCGGAGGCCGGCGGAAGCAGAGCGGCGGCGGGGGCCGCCGGCGGTGGCCGGCGGCAGGCCAGCGGAGGCCGGCGCGAGTAACTCAGGAGGGGAAAAAACACACAGACACAGTTAGTCGTCGATCCCAAGGAAAATATGCGAAAATATGGGAATTGGGGGGGAAGACAAAAGCCCAGAAAATATGATAAGATATGGGGAATATTTTTATTTGTGTGTATTTATTTGTGTGTTCTGGGGCCCCTTTAGTAACAGGGATGGCCCCAAGAGGTAGCCGCATGTGTGGGCGCAGGGCTCTCAGCCCACCGCATGAGGCGAGCGGCCTGGGTTGAGAGTCGGGTGCGCATCGTCCGAGGCGGGAATTTCTACATGACCACCGCCTGGAGGGTCAGTTTTCGGAGCCTCGGCAGGCGGTGGGCATGGACATAATCGGGCCCCCGGGGGCCGAAACATAGCCATATCCACCGCCCGCTGAGGCACCAGGACGTCGGTTCCCAGGCGGTGGATATGGATCGATCCCCGCCTCGCACATATGGCTGCGTGTCTTTCCAGCGCTCGGCCCGTGTTCGGCCATGTGCGATGGTCCTCTAGTGGTGTGTATCCAGCGAGTGGCCTCCGCATGGCCCACAGGCCCACAGCTGAATCCAGCCATGTGTGTCTCCAGCTTCCTGGCATCACGTCGCACACCATCACCTTCGGACATGATCGTCGGCTCCTGGCTGTTTTTCGCTGTTTGCTGGCCTTCAGGCAGCTTCTCGTTGCCACGGTTGGATTCTCTTGGAAATTCGGGTCAGAGCAAAACCCAGGACATGTCAGGGGGGGGGCACGTTTTCTTCCAGACGTTATCGTCTCGGCTGCACGTTCGATTTCGGACTTTCTCGCCAGGTGCTGGAGGTGTTCCTGCTTCGGGATTCTTTTCAGCAGGTACGCCTCGCCGAGGGCTTCCTGGGGGGCCTGAGTCGCCCCCAACAGCCGCTGGACACCCGAGGTATGTATGACCCGAAAGCTCGACGCCAGACCTGTTCGAGCCGCGGAAGAGAGCACAGGGGGAATTGGCTGCACGTAAGAGTGACCCTTCGCTGGAGTGACCTTCTGTGCGGGCGCACTCGGTACCCACGATCGCTGAACGCGACACGGTAGTATCGGAGGCTGCCCGCTTAGTGGGCCCCAGAAACACGGTAGGGCCGTTTCTTCACCGTTTCCAAAGAAATTTCTCTTGAAGATGGAAGCGGTAAGAAAACGGACACCAGAAACGTCAACATACACGACTCAATAATTGGAGCCGGAACTATAGCAGGCAAAACAACGGCGACGGAACCGGAAACAAAAGCGGCGTTGGATCTAGCAACAAAACGGCAACACGGAACCAGTAAGAAAACGGCTTTGTCGTTTCCAGGGCCCACTAAGTACCAGGAAGGCTCGTTGGACAAGGTTGGTCTCGCTAGACCAGAGGCCCCCCCAGCCCGACCCGAGGCCCCAAAACTCGACTTATGAGGCGCCCAAGAACTTTCCGCTGTTTTCTTGACAATGTAGCGGCCTGCGCGCTTGGGAGCGGGTTCCGGCAGGCTTTTTTTTCCCCATTCGTTCGGTAGCCTTTCAGGGACCCCTTGCATGTCCTCGTCGCTTCACTTTTTCCGTCCTATTTAAGGGGCGGGCGGGCACCCAACCTATTTTCGACGCCTTCCTACTTCATGTTTCTACCTCCTTCTTCCGACCGATGGGTATTCCCCAGGACCTGGTGTTTCATCCCGAGTCGTTTTCTGACGGTCCTGAGGCCTGGTTTACGGGCCCCCAGGGGCCGAAAATATGAAAAGCTTCCCGTCGTGATTACTTCATAGCGCGAGGAGGTCTGGGGGCGGGGGGCCGCCTGGATGTCTGGCACCCGCTGCCGCCAGAAACCCTCGCGCCAACCCAACGGGGGGGGCAGAGCTCGGAGGGCGCCGACTGGCCACGCCACGGGCCTGGACAAGAAAACGTATACACGTGCGGGCAAGATTCAGATCCATATCCAGTGCGTCTTGGACTTTCTTGGAAGGGGCGCCACGACGCCGAGGCGCACTGGATATGGATGAACATGGAGCCTCCAGGGGCAAACTTATCCATATCCAGTGTGCCTCGGGTTTCTGGGGAAGGGAGCCCGAAACTCCATACTGCACCGCCACGCCTCCGACCCGGCCAAGACAATGCGTGCACACACACACACACACACACACACACACACACACACACACACACACACACACACACACACACACACGCACACGCACACGCACACGCACACGCACACGCACACGCACACGCACACGCACACGCACACGCACACGCACACGCACACGCACACGCACACGCACACGCACACGCACACACACACACACACAGCTCCCGGGCCCAGGACCGCCTCGGCCATGGATCGGTGAGGTGGTCAGCTGACGATCCCCGAAAAGGCGGGGCGTCCAGTCAGGGCAGGGCCGGCATTCCATTCGTGCTCGTGGCCGCGGTCCGTCCCGCGTCGCCCCCGACAGCGCGGCCGCGCTCTGGGGACGCCCGAGGGCGTTGCGAGAGAGAGGAGGAGGAGGAGGAGGAGGAGGAGGAGGAGGAGGAGGAGGAGGAGGAGGAGGAGGAGGAGGAGGAGGAGGAAGATGTGGCGTTATATTGGACACCTTTCGAGTTCTGCTGGCCCCCCCCGCCCCTACGCAGGAGCGCTCCGCCGCGCGCTCGCGGGCGCTGCTGCAGGTTCAGGCCTTGGGCAGCAAGACCAGCAGGTTTGAGCTTCATGAGGTACCCCCTCCTCCTCCTCCTCCTCCTCCTCCTCCTCCTCCTCCTCCTCCTCCTCCCCCTCCCCCTCCTCATCCTCCTCCTCCTCCTCTTCGGTGCGCGCACGCGCGATGTAGTTATCGAAGACGCCGGCGAAGCACCGACGCCCCCTGTCTTTCAGCATACGCCTGTGTGGCTAAATGCGTTGGCAGAGTTTGGCCACGCTATTGGGTCATGCGTTCCCCCAGCCGTTGTGGAAGCCCTTCGGAAAGCACGCGGGGGAGGAAGAGGAGGATGAGGAGAGGGAAGAGAAAGGAGGATGAGGAGAAGGATGAGGAGACCTATTGGGAGCTTGTTGGGTCATTCTGGGGGGCCTCCTGGGAGCTCCCTGGGGGCCTCTCGGAGCCCTCTTGGGCGCCTCCTTGCGCCTCTTGGGGGTGGGGCATCTTTGGCCGTCTGACGGCGTTCTCCCGTCTGACACCGTCGGAGGCCGTCTTGCCAGCCTGTCTGGGCCGTCTTGGGGCCGTCTTGGGGCGCTTCAGGGTCGTCTTGAAGGCCATCTTGGGTGTCTTGGAAGCCTCTTGGGCCGTCTTGGGGCCCTGTGGGGGCCGTCTTGGGAGCCCATTGGGCAGTCGTGGGGCCCTCTTGGAGGCCTGTTGGGCGATCTTTGGGCAATCTTGGGGGCCTCTTTGGCCGTCGGAGTGCCGTTTTGAAGCACATGCCAAAAGCTTTCAAAACCAAAGGAGAACCAATGATTTTGGCCTCCTCGGCCCTTCCTACAGGACCTCTGGGAGGTGTTTTCGGCCGTCTTCGGGGCCTCTTGGGCGCTTCTTGGGCAGCCTTAGGCTCTTTTGGACCATCTTGGCGGCCTTGGAGATAGGGGCCTCGCGAAGACTTTAATCAGAAAGTTGGGCCCCCAGGTGGGCGAACTTTCGCAAGTTACTGATTCCAACTGTTTTCAACTGTCTGGGCTGCCGAAAAATGGTTTTCTGAACCCGGAAGGGTTGCCCTGAAAGTTTCTTCTCAGAACTTGACAGCTTCTTTCCAGTACCTTTCGGGCCCCGCGGCGGACCCTTCTAAAAGTTACTCGTTCCACTGTTCAACGGTTTGCCAACATTCGGCGGCGCCCGCAAAGTTGCTTTCTCAATTTGTTCCAACTTGTTTGGCAACCTTCAGATTATGTCGAAAGTAACTTGTTCAACTTCCTGTGGCGGTGCCAACTTTGTCTGGATTCCGGTTGTTATGTTTTGGTTGTTTTTTGTTTTCCCGCGGCGGCCAAAAGTAATTTTTCAGGTGGCCTGAAAGATGAACCGCTTCCCGTGGCCTGGCCGAGCAAATGTTATCGGGGCGTCCATGAGTGTGACAGGTCCGGCGTTCTCCCGGGTAGTTGACGACGTGCCACGATGGCTAGAGCCATCTGGCGGGGCCTCCCTGGAGTGCCCTGCGACCTTGGCGAGCCTATGATCGGTGGCGCGGGATTGGCCTGTTAAAGTACACTGTGCGAACTCGCGCGAGCACAGCCTCCCAAGAAAATGAAGAGAGGAGGAGGAGGAAGGACGAGGAGGAGGAGGAGGAGAAGGGACGAGAAGGTGGGGGAGGATGGAGCGAGGAGGAGGAGGAGGCTACGCAGAAGCAGCAGCCAGGGAAGGCAAACGAGGGTGGGGAAAGGACCCCACACTCTTCCAGTACCATTCCTTCCCTGTGCCTCCCTTCCTCCTCCTTCTCCTCCTCCTCCTCCTCCTCCTCCTCTGTCCCCGTCCTCCGTTAGGTCTTTCGGTTCAGACACCCCAGACCTGACAAGCGGTGCCTTCTCGCAAACGTGTCTTTCAAGGGGCACGCAGCCGTGGCGACGAAGAGCCCTTGAGAGACTAAAAGAGCACCAAGAGCTCGCAACAATCTTGACTCGGATCCCGCGTTTCGGGACGACGACGACGACGACGACGACGACGACGACGACGACGACGACGACGACGACGACAGCGACGACGACGACGACGACGACGACGACGACGACGACCACAACGACGCCATCGACGCCGGCGGCACGGAGGCAGGAAGGTTGAAGGCACACAACTGCGCGCATTAACAGCAGCGGACCCTTGAGAGAGCGGAAGTAGGCTGTGAAGCTTTGGCCACTGCCCTGGCGGACACGACGGCCTGACCTAATCGTCGCCCACACTCGCGGTGCCCCCCACTGCCCAGATTCTGTCGAGGCTTCGCGACCAGTCCGAGAGTATGGGGACAGGCCTGTCTGACTCTCGGGAACGCGTCGGGCCGACCGCAAATCTCGCATGCCCGTGCCCCCCCTCCTGTCGAAGAGGTCCAACATGGCCTCCACCATGGTCCAAGAGCCAAGACGCCCTGTAAATGCGTGAGGGGTGCTCCGAGACGAGGCTTTTGCAGCCCTGAGGGCGTTTCAGTCGTGTCTTTACATGTCCCAGGAGCTGGCTGTCAGGCGCGTGGGCAAGGAGCTGGGAGCACGTTTCGCCTGCATGTTCTCCAAATAGGCTTGCCCTATAGATCTTCTAATTCAAGCCCTATCAATGGGTCCGTTGCCCTCCGCACTCCTAATTCTCGAAATGGGCTTGCCTTATAGGAGTCCGAGCTCAAACCTTACTAATTGGTCCGTTGCCCCCCCCCTAATTCCTATGTCCCCCCCATAATTCCTATGGCTAGGCCTTTGCCTATTCTTATCCCCCCCTTTTTCCAATGGCCCCCCCGTATGTATGCTTGCTTGCTTGCTTGCTTGCTTGCGCACTTGCTTGCTTGCACGCTTGCTTGCTTGCACGCTTGCTTGCTTGCTTGCTTGTTTGCTTGTTTGCTCGCTTGCTTGCGCGCTTTCTTTGCACGCTTGCTTGCCTGCTGAGTTGCGGATTCCAACCATGCTCGATTCCTCCGATTCCTTGATTTGAGTCATCTGATCGATCTGAAGTCAACGCTGGCTGATATTCATATGCCCCCCAAATTCCTATGACTATGCCTATGCCTATGCCTATGCCTCCCCCCTAACTCCTATGTCTACGCCTATGCCCATGCCTATGCCTATTCCCCAAACGTGTTTGCCCTATAGGAGTCCTAGCTCATCATACGTTATTGGTCTTCATCACCCCCCCCTTTTTCCAATGCCACCTTCCCTTACTTCCAATGGCACCCCCCTCCCCCCTCCCCCCCTTTTGCCAATGCCCCCCCCCCTTATGTCCAATAACACCCCCCCAGCTATTTCCAATGGCGAGTCCTATGGATTCCTATGAGTCGCTTGCCCTTGCTTGCTCTTGCGTGCTCTTGCTTGCTTGCTCTTGCGTGCTTGCTATCGCTTGCTTGCCCTTGCTTGTCCTTGCTTGCTTGCACTTGATCGCTGGCTCTTACTTGCTTGTTATTGCTCGCTTGCTCTTGCTTGCTTCCGCTTGCTTGCTTGCGCTTGCTTGATTTTGTTCCTCCCGTCCTGCTCCCGTCCTCTTTTCGTCCTCCTCCGATCCTCCTCTCGTCCTCCTCCTGTCCTTCTATCTATTTGAGGTCAACGCTGGCTGATATTACCATACCCCCTAAGAGAATTGATAAGGTCGGTCATTTTGAGGCTGGCGGAATGCGCGAGGCCGCTCGTAGCATGCCTTTTACGCATGCTTCTCAGCATCGTCATCTTCTCCTTCATCTCGCCATTTTTTCTCGAGGCCTAACACGGTGAGGGCCCGCAGGAGGTCCGCCGAGTTGAGGCTCTAATGAGCCGTTTCGGGGGCCAGCCGAGCGGCCAACATTCGGAAAGTGCGTGGAAGATGTGCCGAATCGATGTCCCCATCAACGTGGAAGGGCAACTCACTCCTATATTGACGTCCCCCAGGAACCTGGAGGCCCAAACCATTTGTTCCATGTCCCAGAGCCTGCGAGAGCAAATCATACGTAGTTGCACGTGTCCCAGTAAAGTTTGGGGCAGGAGATCTGTGACAGGTGTCTAAGAATGAGCCCTTCGTGGCCCGCGACGCGCAGATCACTCGTATTTTCATGTTTCCCAGTCGAGCATGGAGCAGGACATGCATAAGGGGTGTACCAGAATGCCAGTGTCGTGCCATGAAGGCACTACTCACTCGTCTTTGCACGCATCGCTGAATAATGTCAGGCAAGAATGCCTGGGAGGTGCACCGAAATGAAGCTTTCGCAGCCCAGGCAGCGCGTCTCACTCGTGTTTTCACGTGCCCCACGAGCCGTCACGCGCGTGGGCCTAGCAATGGGAACACGTTTCACGTGTCTCCAGGAGGTTTGGGGTGAATCGGCCGGCGGAATGCGCGAGGCCGCTCCCGGCACGCAATCTCACTCCCCACCATCATCGTCCACACCATCATCTTGCCTCGAAGAAAAACACGGCGAGGGCCCGCAGGGGGGCCGCCGAACGAATCGCTTCGCGTACTCCGCCGGCCCGCATCGAGGACGCCTGCGGCGAGTCACCGCCGCCCCCTGCCTCTTGGAGTCGCCCATGTGGCCGAGCGTTGCGGCAAGAGCTCTGCCAAACTATCGAGGAACACCTGGGGGAGGATAGGGGGGGAAAATCAGGAGAAGGAGGAGGAGGAGTAGGAGGAGGAGGAGGAGGAGGAGGAGGAGGAGGATGAGGAGTAGGAAGAGGAGGAGGCGGAGGAGGAGGAGGAGGGGGCATCTGGGGAGCCTTTGGGGGCACTCTCGAGGCCTCCTGAGAGTTTCCTAGGAGCCTCTTGGATGCATGTTGGGGGCCTCCTTGAGCCTCTTGGGAGCTTTGGGGGGACTCTCGGGAGGCTGTCTTAACGCATTCCTGGCCGACGCCGTCGGAAGCCGTCTTGGGGGCCTCTCTGGGCCGACTTGGGGCCCTCTTGGGGTGCTCCAGGGCCGTCTTGGAGGCCATCTTGAGCGTCTTGGTGGCCTTTTGGGCCGTCTTGGGGCCCTCTTGGGACTGTCTTGGGGCCTTGTGGGCCGTTCTGGGGCCATCTTGGAGGCATCTTGGGCGATCTTGGGGCGATCTTTGGGGGCTCTTGGGCCGTCTCGCGCCGTCGGAAAGTCGAAAAGAAGCAAATCCACAATCTCTCGAAAATGAGATCTTGGCCTCTTCGGGCCTGCCTGGAAGTCCTCTTGGAGGTCTCTGGGGCCGTCTTGGGGTGGGACTGTATTGGGGCGGTCTTAAGTAGGGGCTTCTGGGGACGTCTTGGAGTGACGGAAGCTCACGAAAAGTAGAGAACCCCAAAAACATTATCTTGGCGAAGGTCCCAACCATATGCAGTTGTGGGTACCGTAATTGTGAATATCTGCTTCGGTGAAGCTCCCTATGGGGCCACGGAGCGCTGCACTGGGCGGGGGGGAACGCTGTACTGTGTGGGTGGTGTGCCGAATTGGGTTTCCGGGACGCATGCGGACGGTCCCACTGAGGGCTTCGGTGGAGCTCCCTATGGGGCCACGAGGCGCTCTACTGAGTGAGTGAAAATGCCAAATTGGGTTACCGAGACGCATCCGGACGGTCCCACTGGGGGCTTGGGAGGAGCCCCCTATGGGGCCACGAAGCGCTGCACTGCGCGGGTGAAAATGCCAAATTACATTTCCCGGACGCATAGGGGGCACTGGGGCCTTCAGTGGGGCTCCCTATGGGGTCACGAAGCGCTGTACTGGGTGGGTGAAACGCTGGGAGGAGGAGGAGGATGGCCACGAAACGCTGTACTGGGTGTGCGGGACGCATGTGGGTACTGGGTGGGTGAAACGCAGGGAGGAGGGGGAGGAGGGCCACGAAACGCTGTACTGGGTGTGCGGGACGCATGCGGACGGTAGCACTGGGACCTTCGGTGGGGCTTCCTATGGGGCCACGAAACGCTGTACTGGGTGTGTGGGACGCATGTGGACGGTAGCACTGGGACCTTCGGCGGGGCTCCCTATGGGGCCACGAAGCGCTGTACTGGGTGTGCGGGACGCATGCGGACGGTAACACTGGGACCTTCGGTGGGGCTCCCTATGGGGCCACGAAGCGCTGTACTGGGTGGATGAAGCGCAGGGAGGAGGAAGAGGAGGGCCGCGAAACGCTGTACTGGGTGTGCGGGGCGCATGCGGACGGTAGCACTGGGACCTTCGGTGGACTCCCTATGGGGCCACGAAGCGCTGTACTGGGTGTGCGGGACGCATGCGGACGGTAGCACTACTGGGACCTTCGGAGGGGCTCCCTATGGGACCACGAAACGCTGTACTGGGTGTGCGGGACGCATGCGGACGGTAGAGGAGGAGGGGGAACAGGAGGAGAGAAGGAGAACGCGGGGACCGTCTCTTCAAAACGAGGACCCAACACCACAGGATGGTTGGGAATGAAAGGCTTACGGAAAATAAGTGATTTCGGTCTCTCGGGGCCTGGAGGCATCTTGGGACGTCTTGGGCGCTTTTTCGACCGACTGGAGGCCATCTTGGGCGTCTTGGACCGATCGTTCAGCGATTCGTGGCCCTCTTGAACCGTCCGGGAGTTCCGGCATCTTTGAGCTCACGTTGCCAGGTTATTTCTCTTCCAGGGACCCCCGGGGGCGGCCCCGCGCGCACGTAGGAACCGTATTCTGAGCCTGTTGCCGGAGATCTTAGCACGCACCGAGCCGGCGAACTTTCACACGTCCCTTGGCCCCCCCTCCCCTGGGCCGCGCACATGCCTCGGCCATGATCTGCGAGCCCCCTCTTGGGCGCCCCCCCTCCCCTGGACGGCTCCGAATTTTTGTGGGGGAGCTCGCTGCTCTGCTGGGCCTCAGAGCTGCGTGGCTCTCGCCCTCCCCGATTTATTCCGCCCCTCCCCGCAGGGCCGCCGCCGACTTCGGGCCAATTGACGATCTGGGCGCGCACGCGCAGCTCTGTACGGCCAAGACGCTGAAACAGGGAACTGTTTGGATTCGGAAGGGGCTCGATGTTCCTTACGTCCTTCCGTG